TTCTTTTCCCCTTCCACTTCAACACCAGTGTGCTAAGGCACCTCATTCCACCCTTTGTGTCAGTACAAAGCCAAGGTGATATACATGTATGACAAATAGTCGGATGGGGCTGTTGCTCTGTTATAGGAGTTCCTTTATTGCACAAGACAGAGGAAAAGAGAGGTTCCAGTCCTGTGTGCCATCTTCTAATATAATCTTTGTCATGCAGTTGCTGTGGACTGTGAATCCCGGCCCTCAAGTAAGATCAGATTGGTTACGAAGTGAAAGACAGCTACAGGGCCTGTAACCTAAAAGCCCTTCTTCAGAAACTTAAGACTTTTTCTGTTTTTTCACTATGGTGTATTTTTTTTTTTTTTACACCTACTGAAAAAGTCAATATATTACTAATTACTAATTAATATATTTTTATTATTTTTATCAGGTATTTAATTTAAGATGCTCTTTCAAGGAGATCCATACAGATAGACCAGCACAAAACTTGTTGTGAATTAAAGCCTACTGATTTTTTTTTTTTTTTTAATTTTGTCACAAGTAATTAAAAAAGTCTACAAATGATTCTGATTAATTTCATGTATGGGCAACTCTCATTCCTGTGCAAACCAGGGTTTTTTAACTAAAATGGAATGAAGCACTTCTGTAATAAGAATGGCCCCATATGGAATTAATCAGGAACAGTTCCATATGTAGAAAAGCTTTAATTAACTTTTGAATGAGTTTCATTTGCAGTGTCTTTGCTGGAATGTATATTTGGATCTAGATGTGTATATATAGGATACTAAACTAGCAAATCGGGCACGGAATCTTTGGTTTAGGGTTTTTGCCAGAAGTCTTAATGATGATTTTTTTTTTTCCCTTTCAAAAATCTTATTATATATTAGTGGGAAAACAAAATTAGAACAAGAATATTTTTAAGATTTTAGTCAGTGTGTTATGCTTTCTGATTTAACATTACATGAGTAGCACTTTCCCTTTTTTAAGTTTAGGTTCTTGGTTTTACTCAAAAAATAAATAGTGTAAACCTCTTACATGCTTTAATTACCAAAATTTCTCTAAGTAATATTGAATGCTCTGGAGTAAACTTTTACACTGCTAACTTTCATTGACAAAATGACTGGAAATGTCTTTATTAGGTAAATTTATAGATTAGTATGTTAATAGATCTTAATAGGTATGTTTGGTGTCCTTCCTGAGCTGTTTGATTTAGGACAAAAAGATAACATTATAGTCTAATATTTTGGTTTATACTGGTAATTTAAGTGTCTTCAATTTGAAATACAGTAAAGTCCATCCATTTTGATATAATAGAATAGTAAATCCCACTGTTGTATCTGTGAACATTGTCTCTACCAGTGAAAGTACATCCATTACAGAAGAAGGATGTTTAGGAATAAAAAATACATTTTTGTCATTTAATTGTTTCTTTTGAGTATGCACTAGCAGTAATTTAGCTAGATCTTTGAGAATTTCTGTTAATCTTTTCTCTTTTTCTGTTTTCCTTTAATATTAATGTTTTTTCTCAGTCTGGCTAGATTTTAGTGTTACTTTTGTGCTGATAGCCATTTCTTTGCATTCAGTTAAAATCATCATTTTGTATGCATAAATCCTTTTCTCATTAGAAACATAGTTTTAATGGTGTCTAGAAAACCAATGCTCAGCTCTGATTTATCACAATGACTTGTATATAATAAGAGAGGATGGAGTGTTGGAGAACAAAGCAGATTCCCAATACTTCTGAGTGTCTTTGTGTATAAAATGTACCCATAATTTCATTAATTATTTTTGTCTAAAGAAAAAATTATCCATTTTGTTCTCTGCTTTTAATATTTTCTTTCTTTACTGAATAGGACTGATGTCAAGGATATGTCAAGCTGCATGACTGGTGTCCCCTATTGGTGTGGCACAGCACTTAAGAGAAGTTAAGAAATGCTTTTTGTCAGGGGAAAAAAGAAGCAAAGTCCTCAAAATCTTGTTTCCAGAATGAACCATTTATTTCCTTATTTAGTGGAAGCATCAGTTACCTGCTCAGAAAACCCTTGCTTAACTGAATTGTCTGAATTACAGTTTACACTGTTTCTTTTGTGTTCTCCATTGCCTGTTCAATGCAGGTTAGGTGGGTAAGAAAGTTATATATAGCAGTTCATTTTGGAAGCCAGATTTCAAGATGTTTGCTTTTTATATCCCCTCTTCATTCACTTAGTTACAGTGAAATGTTTTCTGTCATTTGTGAATTATGCTTCTATGGCTATTTTTATAGAAGTTTGTAACAGTCCTAAAGACAATATCTGGCCCTTTGATTGAACACTCTTTGACACATGATGACATGACAGAGTGTGGTGTTGTGTAGAGATAGCTGAGTTATCTCAAATCATGTTATTTGCCAGAGCAGAAATGATCTAACCAAGTTGATGCAGAGCTTTGAATAATTACTGCTGTACTTGGAAGACACAAATGGTGAAGTCAGGACTCTGATCTGCTATTGAAGGGAGACTGTTCAAAGAAGGCTGAATGCTATGTAAAACTCAAGTTCTTTTAGACAAGGATAAAGATTAGTGATTTGGCAGTACTGACAGCTGTCTGGTATTTCCCACTGCCTTGCAAGGCTGTACATGAGCCTGTAGAAGTGAGAACTCTGACATTCCATGCATCCTGGTGTTAGGTATTGGAAATTAGGTATTGAAAGTTAGGTATTGGAAAATTGAGTGTTGGAAGCGTGGGGAAGGCAAAAGGGCAAAACAGTGGGAGGTCTGCGAAGCATACATTTTCCTTGACACTGAGCACCCAGAATAAACACAGCACCAGACCATGGTCCAGTGGTTTGTGTTTGATGTGGTGCCAAGGAAGAATGTGAGGTGGGGTGCAGGTCGCGCAGTCCCATTCTTTCCCTTCAAGGACAGACTTATCTCCTGTTCTGCTTGATTCCCTTGAAATATGATTTTTTGTAGCAATCTGCCAACTCTGTGCCTCATCCTCCCTTCCTTCCTAACACAGTCCAGCTGCACCTATCATACCAAGTCGACCTTGCTTCCCGTCCTCCCTCTTTTCTCCCACAAAAACCAGCTGTACCCCTTGGCACCATAAAACTAATTATGTATTAATGATAGAATAATGATTTGACTACAGTCCCACCCACTCACCATACCTACTACAATAAATAGTACCCCAAATTTGTACCTAACTTCGAGGGACAATAATCTGACACCAAAACGGAGGGACAGATCAATGGGTTTGTGCTCTCGAACCCCCTCAGAAGGGACACCTTTTGGTAAGACTTCCTTGGCTATGCCGAGTGTATACCCAGGAACTCTGTGTGTGTGATTGCAATCCTTTTTTTTTCTATAGTGCTATATAGTCAACCTGCAGTGTGTGCATTTCTTGTAGGCAATCTTAAAGAATCTGCAAATGTCGCATGAAAAATAAACTGTACTATTTGTGAATCTGACAGCTGCTCTTGAATGCAACAGACATACAGTATATGGGCTGTTTGGTCTGGGTCAGACTTATAGTCACAGTCTCAATTGGCATACCTATTAAGGGATAAGTCCAGCTGCTCCTAGCCCCTCTGATCTCGGAGGACTGGGTAGAATGCAAGGGGATTTATCTCTTACCAAATTTATATCTCACCCTAAACAAAACACCTGGACAGCAGTCATTGCTCTGACAGTCCCAGTAAACATTTCTGCATACATATTGTTTCCACGTATTTAAATAGTTACTTGTTGCTGAAGCTAAATTGCCTCTAGTTCCAAGCCAAGCTGCTTACAGTTAGCTTGAACCTTTCTGTCATACTATAGGATCTGCAGTAAGTATCCTGATAGATGTCACATGCATTTAGTGCTGGATAATGACTTCTTGTCATCTGGATAGTTCTGTCACTGATGCCTGTGTATGATTGGGCATTGGAAGCAAATCTTGATACCTTACTAGTGATCCTGCCTTCTTATAATATTGATATCTCAAGCATTCGAAAATCATAGTTTAGGTCACAAATAATCATCACATGGCTTAAAAATTAGAAGCATGAGAAAGACACATTTCTGGTTCTTTTTGTCTGTTTTCCTTTCTTCCAGTGCTTTGGAGTTGCATTTTCAAGCCTTTTTAGCAACCAAAAATTAGAAAAGTTTTCTGCCAGAACCAAGTGTTCAAAATAATATATTAGGTCTCCAAAAACAATTGATTTTAGAAGTATGATATTTTATAAAAGTACTTTGTCATAGATTTCTGGGTGGGTGTCAAGCTTTTGCTGTGTATATATATTTTGGGGGCCTCAATGGTTAATTGACTGGAAAGTTGTGGGTTTTTTTTTAATTGAGAAATTTAGCATTTACATAGTTCTGTTAGTTTGAAGAACAATAAATATACCACTTCTGATAAAACCAGCATCTGTTACCTTACTGCATTATCTTGATGCATCTACCTAATATCTGTCTTATCTGCACTGCGGTAGAGCAAGGGGATCTGAAAATGCCCATATGAAACCCTAGTGAGATGAAATTAGTTTCAGAGAATGAAAATAAGGCTTGCAAAATGAATTATGTCCTTTATGTATGTTAAAAATGCTATTTCTGTTGCAGAAATTAAGATATCTCTACATCTAGTTATTATACTTACTATGATGATGAATGTTCTAGAGGTGCCTAAAATAAAGATATAAACAGTTACACTTGATTTTAGTGTGCATGTCCCCAAAGCAAAGGAATAGCTGGCAGATGCTCAGTACTAAATAGTGTTGACCCATGTGACATTTTACTTTGACCTTGTGTAGTCTGCACTAAAGCATTGGAAAGGTAGCTCTTTCCTTTAACAGCTAATTATCTAAGTCAGTGACAGAAAATATGTAGTAGGTCAGGGTGCTCCAAGCTAGGAAAAGGAAACAGAAATTTTATAATGAAAGTCTTGGAACATGATTTAAAACTAGTAGCTCTTGTGTATTTTCAGCCCTAAGTCTATATGAGCTATTCACTGAGAGAGCTAACATTTCTGTAATTTCATCAGGCACTGACCTTAGATAGCTTGCCACACTTGCACTCCAGCATTAAAATGAGCTGAGATCCTTGACTGTAATGTTGAAATAAGATCGCTGGAAGTGATGCTACTCAGGCAATTACTGATGGACTTTTGCCTTTAAAAAAAAAAAAAAAAGAAAAAAAAATTACTTTTGTGGTTCAATTAAATGACTGTTGTTCTGCATATCCCATTAATTATAAATGCATATTTTCTTAATTATAAAAATTCTACTGTTTGGGAGTACTTGAATCGCAGTGGGCAAGCTCCACATGCTTCACACTGACAAGGTTCAGGTGCAGGTGTGGAAGCAGAACTTTATGTGTCCTCAAGAAATGCATTTGTGAAAATGTAGGGTTTGAAATACATATGGAGTTTGGTGGGTGTTTGTCAAATTCTATCTAAATGCTGCCAAGAGACTTGCCAAATCTCTCTGTAGGTCAAAGTGGGAATTTAAGTAAAAAATAAGTTTTGCTGAAGGTATTGTAGTGTGGCTAAAGTATCCACATGAGTAACTAGAGTCCCAGGTGTGCTTATATCACACACATTGAAGTATGTTCTCTTGCAGTTCTCTTGTTATGTCAGCTTGTTAGTTCTTGGACAGTACACATCTGTTTGCACATTTCACGTGACATTTGCCCCTTCCTTTGTAGTGCTATGGAGTGGGACTATAAATGAAGCGTAAGTGGAAAAGTTACATATTCTGTATTAGGTGTTCTGAGTTATAGTCCTTATGCAGGGAAGCAATAGAAAATTAACTTGTTACCTCATATTTTATTTATATTACCAAAAAAAAAAAAAAGTTATATGCATTTGTCTGCAAAAACGTGGATGTGGAAAGCTATGACATTATCTCAAATCTTCCTTCATTTACAGTACCATAAATTGTAAGCAATGTGAAGATGAACTGTGATAAGCAGTGATGACTCAGTGTATTGGTGCTGTGGTAGTTTTATGATGTGATGCTGATTTTAAAGGGATGCCCTGATCTGCACAGCCTGTTTGGGCAGTTGTGGCTCAGGCTTTGCCATCTTCCTCCCAAGTCAGTCTCCAGCAGCTGTGGAGAATGTTAAAAAAATGTTAAGTATATAAGAAACATTCTACATCAGTTTTTAAGAGGGGAGAAAGCTGGGGAAAAAAAAAAAAACAAACCACCAAGAAAATGAGAAAACAAAGAAGTGTTGAAGCATGTTGTTCATTCAGGGATAACTGATGCAGTTTTGAATAGCTAATCAGTGTTTTAATGGGTAAATGAGATAGTCTTACACACTTTAATTTTTGTTGTTCTTACCTTGCAGTTCAACTTAAAATTCTTCAAATGTCTGTAATTAAGCCGATAAAACCCTTCTAGTGATGGTATTTACAGTTGCTTTTTTTTTTTTTTTTGGTGGCAATGTCTGCTTTTTAAAAAATTCTGTTTATATAGACTGTACCTAGTAAACATGGCACACAGGAGGCTGCAGACCCTTGAGGCTGCAGTATGAAGACCAACAAGCATCCTTTATCCTTAAACTGTGGGTCAGTTTTCAAGTACAGACAAAAAGTATAATTTGGATTTTTAACTCTGTAATGCTAGCAGCTGGATTATTGAAAAAAAGCACAGTTATCTTCTAAAGATTGGACATTTTATATGACAATGCTTGTGAAAAAACAGTCTTAATCCCATACCTATTTGATGGTTGATCTCTAATGAATATCTGATTCAAAATGTTGCTGCTGATAACTTGGGCCACTTAATGAAAAATACCCTGCCTCTCATGATATTAGAACATTGCTAGTTGAATTCTTGGGAAAAAAACCCAAATAAGCAAGTTATTTGAAGTCATGAAGAAAGCATTAAAATGCATGTTGTCATGTTTAAAAGTAGCCATAAGGCACACAGCATTTGGAAACTCTGTGGGGAGGGTTGATTTGTCTGCTTTTAATGAGACTCGAAAGAGTCACTTGGATTTGGGTAGCAAAGATATAGGTTTAAGTTCAAAACTGGATTTTGAATTGAAAGACAAGCCATACACTGTTGTATTGAACAACAATATGAAGATAATCATAGAATACCAGGTTGGAAGTGACCTCAAGGATCATCTGGTCCAACCTTTCTGACAAAAGCACGATCTAGACCAGATGGCCTCACGCCCTGTCCAGCTGAATTTTAAAAGTGTCCAGTGTTGGGGAATCCACCACTTTCCCAGCCAGATTATTGTAGTGGCTGATTATTCTCATTGTGAAAAATTTTTCTTTTGTGTCCAGTTGGAATCTCCCAAGGAGTAACTTGTACCCATTACCTCTCATCTTTTACACAAAACATCCAAAAATGGCCTATGCATTTCAAATCGAGGAATGTGCTTAATTTTTAAAGTTTTCTGTAAGATTGTTTCTATAAGTATTTTTATCACATAAGAAGTTAGCGAGTGACCTATTTCAATAACAGGAATGTCATGCTACTGCACTGCTTCATAAACTACAAGTATTTATACCCACTATGAAGTGTGTGTTTATATATAACCCATGCTAAGTAGTCCATGGAAAAATCGTTACTTCAGCCTTAATCAAAGTAGAACTGCCAGAATTTCACTTACATTAGTCAAGGACTTCTCACTATTTCCAATTTACTTAAGCAGAATTAATTTTATCCTTACTTGTTATCATTTAGGCATACCAAGCTGACTGAACTGCTAGATGTGTTTTACCACTGTTTTTAAATTATAAAGCTGAAGCACCTGATATTTGTAAGAGGTGCATACACTCGAGGTCTCCGTCATAACATCTGTGTCCCTCATTTAGGAAAAGCTGTGTTATTATGTTCCTTTCAGGAATGATAGTTTTACTGCAGTGGTACAAACCTAGTGTGTCTACGCTGGAAGCACTTTTATTTCATTGACTGTTACACTAATACTGATGAACTGTAGATAGAATAGTTATTCTACTTTGAATTAATTTCCTGTCTAGAATAGATCATACTTAAACCTTAAAAGCTGAGTAAATTTGTTCATCTTCATTAAATTAAAAGTGTGTTTTTAACCTGCATGTTCTAAGTAGAGGAAGAACTATTTTTCAGAACTCCAGTCTACATGGCTAACAAGTTGAAAACCACTGGGGAGTGTAGTTTCTGCTTTGCTAGTTCATATGAGAAAAGTGAATTTTGTGTGTTCAGTAGAACTGGAGCTCATCTTAATTACTGAGCCAGTTCTATACTGCTAAGATTTACCGGCAGAATGTTTTGACAACCCTTAAACATACAGTTATGCCAACACAAAACCTTTTGATAGTTTGTCAGTGTTGTTTATGTGTGTGGTGTCCAGAAAGAAAGGTGCTAGTGTTCTGCATTGTCACAAGGAGTGCAGCTATGCCACGTTACTGGAGTGGTGGAAATTCTTCTGTTACAGGATAGCTCGTAGCCAAATTAATTTAAGAATTTGAGAAAAAGGCAAATGCCATGTTGCGTTTGGAACAAGCCTTCCAGTTGCAAATAAACCCATACTATTCCAGTTTAGTTGAAACAGAAATACTCATATCAGCAACATAAATGGCTTCTCTAAATCAACACCTATTAAAGCACCAGGAAAATGGTGCTAATTACAGAATTTAATGTTGATTTTAACCAGCATTTGTGTTTCTTACTTTAAATTGAAGCTTATTAAAATATGTATGATACTAATAGTTCTGATACTGATACTATGCTTACTGAATAATCACAGCTTTACTCAAATAAGAGGAAATGGATTTTTGTCTCAATTGTATATTCAGGTTTGCTGGGTGTTTTCCCTGGTGGGTTCTGTGAAACTGGAACATTACATATAGAATCTGAGTTGAACTACAACAATCCTCTACGGCACAGATGCCATGACTGCTTTTTATTATTCATAGTTAAGAGGGAAAAAAGAGACAATGGTTTTATCTTACTGTTTTCAGACATGGTTTACTTGTTTAATTGTAGTTTTTGTTAGCATTTCCAAAAGTATTGAATCTGTCTGTCCACACATTTCCAGCTGACTTAAATCCATTCACTGCTGTAACTCTCCATACAAGCAACTTTCATAACTATGTGAAATAAACTCTTCTGTCAATCAAATCAATGACAAATTAGGGCTACCCACACCAGAGGCAGAAGAATCCCTTTTTCTGAAACTATTCAAGAAGAAGAAAATTGATGGTCAAGGTGCAATTTTAAGGTAGCTTCATTTTGTATATGGAAGACAAACTCAGGGCTTGTTTGCTTACGATGTAGCATCTGCTAAGAACACAGGAATGAGAATGCATGTGAGAAAGTATGAACAACTCTGCCTACAGCTAAATTAACCTGCAAAGTGGACTGCTCCAAAAACTACAGAAAAACTACGCAAGCACTATGTTTTATAGTCTTCCAGCCAAGATTTTTGCTGTTCTATTGCTGTTAGAGCAGAAGTCAGGAAAAAGAACAAAAGCAGCCTTGGTCCCCATTTTTAGCTGTGCCAAGGAATGGACAGACCAGGGTAGTCTCATCTTGCCCTTTATTTCTTTAACATCCTCCTGGAGGGAAAAATGGCAGTACTGTTGCAGCACCCACACAAGAGTCCTGTGCTGTCCAAAGATATCTCTGATGGAGGTATTAAAGCCTTTATCTTTCATGTTAGATTACTTGATAGTACAAAATCTGAACTTCCTTGTCTCTGCCATCATGATTATGGGCCTGATTTTCTACACTTTAGCCAGGTTATTTTTTCACCGAATTTAATGGGAGAGTTACCCGAGTTAGAAGTTAGACACCTAGATACTGGAGTTACACTCCTTCTGTCAGTAATTCAAGACTTGAGCCATTACAATTTCACTGACTTTGGTGAAATTACATTATGTTAGCCAGTAATAGCGTAGTTGAGAAAAAGATCGGTATCTGCATGTGATACTACAGGAAACAAAATGAACATTGGGTAAAAAATCCACCTTCTTGTGTTCCTTCAGATTTTTTAACATGTTATTTGAAGATGAAGGGGTAGGGAGAGAAGTGTTATGCAGTATAATCACTGAAGCATTTATTTATATTTTTCTAGCTCATATGTATACCGCATGGGAGAGATGAAGACTTTTAAT